TGTCCTTCTGCTACCTTAGTACTAAACCTATAAATATAGGCACATAGATCTATTTCCCCATCCTCATATAAATATATTTGCATATGTACGTGTCTTTATCTAGACCTCTATAAATGGGGCACAATTTTCATAATCTTTTTCTCATGAATGCTGTTTTCAATTTCCTTAAAACTTCTTCATATGAAGTCTCCATAATCATCCTGCATGCTAAGAGAAAAATCTATAAAGACTATCCCAATACAATCCAAAAAATAGTAGCCCAAACCTTCTGAGCTGAGCTCTCTGCCTTGAATTTAACTGGCCCAGTAGAATCTAGCCCTTAGAAGCCATTTGTGGGATTGGGCCTCGCTGTTTGGATCAGATGGGTAAATCCAAGACTCATGCCCAGTTATGACTTGTTCCATAAAACCGCCTTCAGTAGCTTCAGCGTCGCTTCAAAGACTGATGGGAAGATCAGCTCTTTGAGCTGAGCTTCAGGCAACACTTATTTTTCAGTATCCTTTTTCTTACAGCAGTCTAACAAGACTAAGGCCAAGATATTACCTAGAGATCTTGTCTGCGGTCATCCACTAATTGCAGGGGCCTCTTTAAATATACGTTGTTTGAAATAAACGCACGCATGTGTAAACTGGAACTGTCATCCTCTTGGACTCCTATCTATTGGTTCTTCATATGTTACTACCTATAGGTTTGTACATATCACTATCTACCAGTTCTTTGTGTACATTATTCACTCAGCTCCTCTACAACTAAACTGCAAGGTAATGATCAAGGAATGTTTCATAATCTCTCAAGTTCCCCAGGGTGGTATCTACTACAGAATAAGGGCTCAACAAACTATGCTTGAATGAATGAAATATTCATATGCAAGGGTGGATGGGTGGAAGGAAGACAAGAAGAAAGGAAGCCCTTGGTCCATCTCTCCACGAGGGCTCGTAGCAGAGAACACCGTATTACCTTCTGGGGCAAAGCACAGTAGTGTTCCGGGAGCCCTGATCTCAAACATGGGAAGACGTTCCGAGGCAAATGAAGAAGATTCGTTGGACTCATTGTCTGCAATCTGGTGTAACAGGGGGATGATCCCTGCTCCCTTCCCAGTAATGCCTCCTGCTTGCCTGCCTCCTGCCTCCTGCTAGAGCCAAAAGGCTCTAGCCCCTGATGATGCCAAGAGCTACAGGGAGAAAACAAACCTGTCCTAATCGAGAGGAGCCCGTGTTATAGACAATGTGACTGTCGTGGTCATTGAGTTTAGGCAGGGGCAGAAGAACAGTTCTGCAGCTGGAAATGTTCAGTGGAGACGGGATTACTTATGAGTGGTTTCCCTGGGCTTTGATGTAAGGTCCTTCTTTCCACAGAAATCACAAATTCCTTCAACCCCACTGCAGAGCCTGATATCAAAGGTCCTCCAAGAATCAAAACCCAGGTATTTGTTTTCTCACCTCCTCGCAAAGAGCTCAAAGGCCTCTCCACCACGGCTCAGGAGCCCAGCGACGAGGAAAACATTCCGGTTGGTTTGCGTTTCTGAAACTCGACTGGCTAAGGTTCCTAACACAATCTATCATTAAAAGGGCTCTTCCCGACTCCAGAGCAGCCGCACAGAAGCCGTGAGGATCTGAGGGATTACAAATCAAAAAGCGAGGGTACTGAAAATGCATTCTTGGTTCAGTAAGCTATTATGAATATCGAATCAAACCATGTGGGAACGTATTCTTTGTTTAAAGTGGCGGGAATGGATGGGTTCACCTAGGCTGGATTTTTTTTTTTTTTTAACATTTCGCATGCTTCCTAAACAAATGGAACATTTCCACTTAAAATCTGGGCTCTATCTTTTGCTCCGTGTTGAGAAAACAAGTTAGGAAATGCATTAGGCTACGGCAGTCTCCACTTGGAAGCTGAAGCACTAGAAGGGTTCCTGAATGAGGGGCTCGTCTCTCCAGCCACAGCAGTGGGTCCATCTGCTTGTCATAGCATTAGGCCTTGTGGACGGCAGGGAATGCCCACGCACATTGGAGAGGCCTTCTGAACTGAGGTGCGAAGCCCGTGCTAGGGGCTCCTCTCTCCTTGCAGGCTGGTTAAGTGGTAGGAGAGTAGACACAAAAGATAGGCCAACAGCCACCTCACAAAGTCAACAGGCCTGAGTGGAAGGGATGAGTGAGTCCCACGTTTCATTCTCCCACCTTGTTCTCTCCGGGAATAAAACTGGGTTCACGAACTCATGGGCTAGAAAGATCTGGCAGTGGGGTAGGTTCAATGTAGTCTTCCAGGGCTGAGAGCCTAGGCCGCTTCAGACCCCCCAAGATGCCCAGTTCAAATAGCCTACCGGCCTGGGACCAAACCCCAGAGTGGGGAGAGAACGGTAGTTAGATGGTTCCCACTAGTGGGGAAGTTGACCTTGATACCCCACTAACAGCACTCTTAAATGGCGTAGGGAGGTCCCAAAGAAAAGGACTCCCACAGACTTTTGTGTGACCTCTTGCAGACCTTTGAGGGAGATACCCACCTCATAAGATCTCAGGGATGGTAGCTTCTTCCTCTGGGAACTCAGGGAGCAGAAAAGTGAGACCTTCTTTGCCTTTCAACCAGAAAGTGGTCTGTGCTCCTTTCCCCTGTAGGGAGCAAGGGAAGGCGTGAGGGCATCAAAGCGGAGAGGAGCCGCCTGGGAGGTGCAGGTTCTGAGCAGACACCTCAGGACACCCTCCTTGCGGAGAGAGCAGAAGCCACCCTAGTGAGGGAGCCAGCCAGCTCTCATGGAGTCTAAGCCCATGGCGACCCCATGCATGTGCTCGAGACCCTGTGCGTGCTCGAGACCCTGTGCGTGCTCGAAACCCTGTGCGTGCTCGAGCATAGTTGCACTCTGCAGGGCTTTCATGGCTGCTTTCGCAGAAGCATATCTCTTGGTGGGTCTTCCAGACAACCTCAGGGTGGGTTTGAAAATGCCAAGTTCCCCCAACACGATTGCTGAAGACAAACTGGGTGCATAAACAAATATGGTGAAGAAAGTAGATGGTGCCTGGCTATAAAAAGATATAGCATCTGGGGTCTTAAAGGCTTGAAGGACAGCACTGAATCTGCAGCTCCAGGAGAGGGACATGTCTGATGCGAACACACGGGAGCAGATGAAGGGGGAGGAGGAGAGAGTGGAGCACATCCTGGCCCACCAGGCCTTGAGGACGATGTTCTTACCCAGGGCAGCCAGTCTACAGAGAGGACCACATGGCCGGCCCCACTATGAGACACCACATCTCTCATGGACCCATAGCCCTACAGGGGACAACACTGGAGACACAGTGTGGTAACTACACCCGATCTGATCCTGCCACACCGAGGCAAAACACTAAAGGGGTGCAACAGAACAGCAAGAGAACATAGCAACGAAGTCCCCAGGGAATGCCAAAGGTGGATTTGGGGGCCAGGGCTTGGTGCCCCAACAGACTGGACTGGAAAACACTCCTAAAGGCCAACAAACAGTCCTTGACCTAACTACAAGCTTTTTTTCTTGTTGTGTTTTGTTTTGTTTTTTTTGTCATTGGTTTGTGGTTGTTGTTGTTTTGTTGTATATTGTTGCTTGGTTTTGTTCTGTCTTGTTTTTGTGCATGTTATTATCTCCGCAGGTCTGTTTAAATAAGATATGCTGGATGAACAATCTGGGGAGAAAACAATGGGACCGACAGTTCTGGGGGGACATGAGAGAGGGACATGAGAGAGGACATGGAAGGTGGGGGGAAAGGTAGTTGTGTTAGCAAATCCAGGGACAAGGGAACAACAAGTGATCTGAATCGGTGGTGAGGAGGGTGTAGGAGGCCTGGTAGGGCGTGGTCAAGGGTAATGTAACCAAGAGGAATTACTGAAACCCAAATGAAGACTGAGCATGATAGTGGGACAAGAGAAAAGCCAAAGGAAAAAGAGGAAAGAGCTAGGAGGCAAAGGGCAATTATAGAGATCTAAATAAAGGCATGTACATATGTAAATATACTTATATATGGGGATGGGAAAATAGATCTATGTGCATATATTTATAGGTTTAGTATTAAGGTAGCAGA